ACAAAGTCAGACTGAGCCTCATGGAAGCACTCAGGTGGGCTTTAAAACTCATGTTTGATTAATTGCTCTGCACTAAAAGCCAAGGTGTCGTGCATAAAAATCAATCTCCAATTATGGAAATGCTTTGTGATGATTTAAAATTCACCAAGGCTGCCATATCTCATTAGATTGCTGATCATAAGATGGATTTCGCTTTTGTGGTTTAAACCTCTCAACCTTTAAGCTATGAAGTGTTAAGTAATAATAGGTGTGCTTTATCTCGCACCCTCTAACTGCAGAATGGTAAGGGTCAGAGAAAATGGAGCCTAATGTGTCCTCATCCCACCTCCGCACTAGTCGCATCACAGGAGCAGAGTCTAGCCCAGTGAGGGGAACCACGGCACAGCACATCAAACTCTCATTAGATAGGATGAAACTTTAATGATCCCATGATTGCCATGGGGACACTGGGCTGGTTCAGCAGCAAGCAAACATGGGATACAACACAAGCTAAATTTAAATGATCGTGGATAAAAGAGAAAAAATAGCGGTTGCAATATTTATATGTGTTAAATAGACTTGTTTAGGCCAAAATGCCAAAACATTATAGTTTGAACAGTAAGACTGTTGCAGAGGAGGGAGCAATGAGAGATTGTAGAGGCGGAGCAGCTTCTGTAGCTCCATCAGCCCTCTTGTTGAGCCGTTTGGACAGAAACAATTGGACAATCCTGACGGCTGTTGGCACCAAAGTGCACATAAAACACTCCATGTTGCACCTTCGGGGGGTGAGGGGGAGGCTGTTGTTCCGAGGTGAAGTGGGAGGTGATTTTGGTAGGCCTCATTTATATCTCACTACAACACAGTGTAGTTTAGGGTTTGGAATGAAATACATGACAGTCCACTCAACCCTCGCCCTGTACACTGTCTTTGTATTTTCAGAGCAGTTTCAGAGGATGTCAACTATAACTACTATAGTGCCGTTTCAGAGCAAACCTTCTCCCAGCTTATGACAGGAGTCAGTAAGTGCTCCTTCACAAGTCCACTACCAGCTCATCTTTTAATGATGCAGAGCGGCTGACTCGATTACACCTCAACGTGAGGCTGTATTTTTAAAACCAGATGTTCTCTTTGTTCCAAATTGACCAATCCGCGGACTTCCTCACACACACACACACACAAACACACAATCTTTTCTCAGCTGCAGCTCCGCCGATTTCTCCGCCTGAGACGGTGGGACGCGGCGAGGCTGTGAGTGAGCACACACACAAACTCCCAGCTAGGCTGCGGGTGTGTGTGTGTGTTCGGGCTGGGTTTCGCTGTGTCTCGCTGTCTCGCAGACAGCCACTGGGCTCATAGGGAGGGGGGGGCAGGAGCTCCAACAAGCCGTTTAGGACAGAGAGTGAATACACATACTATACAGAGATGCTGTATGAGAAACCAATGCGATTTTGGAAAATTGCACAGTATAAATCTGTTCTAGTATACCTCAACAATGGAATTATGATCAGTAGAAATGGCCATGACATGGGACCTTTAAGCAATATTAATTCCAGTATGCTAATTTAAAGATAAGGGCTGTTGGCTGTGAGATTTGATTGTTTGTTGTACAGTAGATATACAAACATGTATTCTAAACTGCAAAATGAGTGGGTTTAGTTTTACATGACGCTCATGCTTTCAGTAGTTTGAATAATTTGGTTCTTCCATAAACACATAACAGTTTATTTTAATAATTTTAGAAATGTCCAATGTTTTAATAAAGCCATTTTCTCCACAAGACGATGTTGACAATCATATTTGAATAGAGATTGGTGCCACAAACGCACAGCCTCTTTACTCCTCCTCCCCACGCATCCCAAATAACAGAGGCATCATATAAGAAATCCTGGAGGTGGCATGACGCAGAGCAGATAACTAGACCATTAGATAACCATACAGCAGAGGAACAGCAGAGGAACAGCATAGCACAGAAAACAGCATACAAACTCTACACATTCAAAAATACAAGACCATAGGGAAGAGATAATAGAGCAGGTTTATATGCCAACAAGACTAACATGCAATATAGCAGTGGTTCTCTCCACTTCAGCACTGAGTGGTTTTGCTTCCATTTCTTTCAGTCATGCATACACATTAGCTTTGTGTAGAGTGAGACTTTCCCTCAGTAGGAAACCCCTTATGTGTGAAGTCTTCTAGCTGCACTGTGAGGAGAGAGTGATATAACGAATCTCATGCAGACAGCCGGAGAGCTGGTGTTTGCAGAGGGATGCACCGTTGGGATAATCAAATTACAAATGTGGTTGATATGTGGTTTTAAAATGCCATCTGAGCACCCAGCAGATAAATGATGCCATAAATGTTGCCATTACTGGCACAGGGTTAGAAAAATCAATATGGGTTTGTTTTATTTTGTGTTTTATGTTGCCTTTTTAGTCCAGGGAGATGGCACCATACGATAAAACCTTGTTTTGTTGTCTGCCGTACTATTGCCCTGTCCTGTTTTAGGAAGATAGAATTAAAAAGGTGATCCTTGGACTTTCTGGCTTCACAGTGATAAAACCTTACAGGTCACCATTAGACTGCTGTCTGTGAACTGTCCAGATACCAAAGAATCAGAACGTTGCACAGTACATTTAATTGTGCTGCATTTAAGTTATCTATTTCCTTATTCCCTTATGACCTCTACCTTACAATCCTGACAGAGAAGAGGGCCATTTAGACGAATAAGGATACAGCTGTGTGCCAATGGCAGAGTACAGGAGGACACTTTGCAATGCAACACCCCTCAAACCCTTCATAACCCTGACACCCCCTGTTTCCACTTCCTCTTGTATCACTCTCAGAGTTTCCACCTCTATTTCCTTGCCTCTGATTCCAGGTTCTCGGTATTGGAGAGAAAGCCGACAACCCCCCCCCTACAGCCAACTATGCATCCTGTTTCTGACACATGCCAACTTAGCCGGCCGCACCAGTCAGCTGAACACAGATCCCGTTTCCCCCTTCTTAATACTCCTAACAAGCCTTCTCCCTCTGCAGCTAAGTGTCAAGCCTTCCAAAGTCACCTAACGGGACAGCTCTGCCTCCCTCACACAGTCACACAGAGCGGGAGCACACACAGAAACATGCTTTCCTTTTTACCTTTTCAATTTTTGTTTATTACAAGAGATGATATGCAACTAGATACTCACCAGCAGTCACAAGATGGATACCTCATTATATTTGCACGGTTTACTTTCATGGCTTTCCTAGCAAGATGGAAGCAAGTATGAAGGATGACATTCTGAGATCCATGAGCATAACAAAATGACAGGAGGCAGACAGCCAAGTAATAGCCTAAATAGCATAGTGTGCACAATTATCCCTCACTGTCAATAAGAGATGTTTAGATTGGAACATTTCTTGTAAGCAGACTTGAAAATAGTCTTAATCACCAGAGGCTTGATAGTATTTTAACTCTGATATCATGTAAACGTCTACTTGTGTTTTTCATTATGCAGTCAATACGCTGGCTGGACTATTCAAAGGCAATAAAGAAAGTCTTCATTTTTGAAATGTCATGTTCTGTCCAAAATAGAACATATATTATATTGGTGAGACTGGGAGTTATGAATCAAGTCAATATCATTGACAACATAAACATTACCGACAATATCAATTTATGTGGGAAAAATGGAAAAAACATTGCAATGGAAATCAGATTGATGTTCAATTCTTCACAAACGTAAAACAAAACCGTCACTATTATTTTGTAAAATGTAAAGACGCACTAAAAAAACAAACCAAACACAGAGAATTGCATCTTACAGCATTCAGCGTTGCAGAGCAATAGAGGCTATTTTCTGCTGTTGTGCCAGTTAGGGATGATGACTCTGTGCCCTGTCTCCCACCTGTCATAATACCAAACAGAAAAGGGCCAAGGCCACCAAAAGGACACGGCAAAAGAGCAGCAGGAGGGACACATTTGAATTGGACACAACCCAAACATATCAAGGACGCGGATCGAGCTCTCTTCCTTCCATCAGGCACATCCTCTTTTCCGCCTCTTTGTACTCAACGTTAAGACAGACAGCACTTGCAATAAGCTAATTATTTTCATAATATAGATCTAAATATCATTAATTCCAAGAAAGAAAAATACGTTTTAGGCCATGTTTTGCAAACATTACATTTCCAATGCCCCTCTGTTCAGCAGGGGGACCACTTGCACCATGCACAAGTGTGAGTCATATGAAGCAGGCTTTGATAATGGCTTTGAATCAGCCATGATTCATTGTAAAGCAGGCCACCCCAAGCTAAATTATTATTATTTTTAAATCCTACTTCTATATCAGTACTGCAAACAGGTTACTTTCATCATTCCACAAAGCATTTCATTTGCAAAAAAAAACACATTCCAGTAAACAGAGTGTAAAAAATTAAGAATCAAATTGGAGAAAGCTATTTTTAATACTTAATTTCACAGAGTTGTACTATGAAAGGGACCTAGGTGTTTTTAGGTCTGTATGAGGAGTCCAATTGGGCTTCATTAGGACTCACTGGAAGAATGTGCAGGATTATATGTTGAGTTACATGAAACTTGTGTATGGCCCCCTGTAACGTTTACTTGCACCCTACAAGTCAAGAGCTGGTGTATTATTATTATAAGGATAATGTATGTTCAAGCAAAATCAAATGAAGGAACTGCTCTCCTCTGATCCCACCCATATCTGGCAGGCAACACCACCCCCATGATTCAAGACTGGGAGTTGGTAAACACAGCCAAAGGATAATAACAATCTTCAAGAGATGCATTCATTATAAAAGGCACTGCAACTGGCACTTGATATCTGTTTGGTGGGTGCGAGTGAGGAGGAGGAGGAAGCCATCAAAGTAGCTCAGTGGCATGTCACTTGCACGATGAAGGCCATACAGAAGAACAACTCATGCCAGTGTTACACAAACATACAATATGTGCATCAATAGCTGTGTATGTGGCGTATAAATAGATTTTACATCTACTAATTGATTGTGGACAAACATACCTTCGGTTTGACGTTGCAGTGGCAACAAACCGTCCACATATATTGCATTGTCCTCCACAGCAGGATGATGAAGAGACCCCCAAAAAACGTCACCATGGAGGAGGCGAGGAATGCCCACCACATACGCTGCCCATTATTGTCGCAGGGCACCTCAGACGAGAACGGGATGACAACGTCTTCCATCTTGGATATTAAGATTGAAGAGTCCTGATTTATATTATTATTGATATTGCTTCTCCTCATATAGCTGTCGCTTCCATGGGGAACGGAGCCACCTGCCTCAGCTAGCATTTAGGAGCCTTGGAGAGCCTGTGCCAGCGTCCCCAGCCCCACTCACCAGCCATATTGCTTGAAAAAAAAAAATCCCCCTCTTCGCTGTAGATTATGTTCACCCACCCGATGGAGTCTCTTTCAGTATTTTAGCAGCCTATGAATTGTTTATTCGTAACAGCGTGAGACACCCCACACGCGAACCTATCCAAAAAAGCGGGTCGGTGGCCCTTGGAGAGAGGCATTTAAATCCGCAATATTGACGAATGTGAACCGCTTCTTAGTCGGAGGGGTTTTCTGGCTCTTTCACGCCAAAAGCCATGGCGAAGACGGCGTCGTGTGCAGCCGTCGAGGCTGCCAATGCTTTGTCGGGTAATGGTAAACACAGCGACAGTGAAAATGTTAGCAGACTGTTCTCGGCGAGGCGACCTCTCTAGCCGTCTTCCATTCAGGGATTCTGTCGATCAGCAGGCGGAGGATTCGATCGATCGATTTCACTTTCTTTGAGCGTCAGTCGACTGTTAAAAAACACAAAGCGAGAGATTGTTTGAATCTACGGTTGGTGAGTGGGCTCGGCAGCGTTGAAGACTACATATTCTTGCGGGTGTTTTCGATGTCAGTTCTGCGTAAAGAGGACAAGCGCTCGGTTGGATGTCACTGTCTCCATTGGATCCCCTGCAGCCCTGGCACAGAGCGGCCAGCTGAAAGCGCCTGTCAGATCCGCTCCAGAGGAGAGAGCGGGGAGATTTACAGGTAGGAGGCGGAGCGAAGCGCTAATAATAAAGATGGACAGAGGGCAGTAATACAGCGACGATGTTTATTCCCAGTGCCGACCGGGGTCTGCGCATGGGGTCTGCGCTGCTGGGTGAAGAGGTAGGCTACAGTTGCGCCTCTGCGTCTCTGATGCGCGTCAATGACGCACGTCGCAAAAAAAACGAGGAGGCTTTAAAAAGCAAGCTATATCGATCAGTGATAAATTCAAGAGTTATAGATGATATAAAAACTACAGGAAATGACGAGTCCCCATAGGAATTGTCGTGGTGACAGTGGATATAAAACGACGGTAAAGTGAGGTTACTTATCTTTGACTACAACATGGATGTTATTGGACTGACTTTTCATTAAAGATAGTGCTCCCCCTTTTCAATTGCCGAGTCTGTGGCTTGTCATCCAACGCAAATGGGCGTCACTGTTTTCATTTTGAGAAAAGAAGTTGATAAAATGCCTCACACTCACACACACAACCACACACAAACATGCAGACACAGGGAGTGTTATGAATGTCCTTCCCGGTCAATTACTGTAATATGCTTACACTTTTAGCACACATATTAGGTCAAAAACAGGTGTGGATTGGTGATGACGGAGAGGCATGACTACAAGTAGTTTATGGCTACACACAGATGCCCCTTAAGTAGTCAGCCACACCAATGGAAATGGGGAAACAGCTGGCATGGGGTCCCTGAATAACCAGTGACCCCTGTGCACCAGAGCAGCCAGGTGCACACAGCCACCTGTGTCCCAAGGCTCCAGACATCTTGGTGATTAAAAAAAACCCCACTAATCTGCCCCCCACCCCCCCCCCCCAAGTCCTTGAGTTCTTCAATTGAGTGAGAGTGATATTAAAGGCCTTCTGCAGTTGTATGACTTGATGTTGATGCAACATGATAACAAATATCAACAATAATATATCTATATAATATTTATGACGTTTGAAATTATGAGACCTCTTAAGCACAGGTCATTTGAAAAGTAAACATGCCTGAAATGTGAAGATATGTGATGTGTGTTATCTGAGGGTTATTTATTGTGTAAGGAATGCAGCACGTTTCACATAATTGAAATTCTTGCAGATTATTTCCCCTTTATTTCCTTCACATCATCAAGACTTTTAAGAATGAACCTGCAGCAAATCACCAAGATAAAAATCTGACAGTTAAAACTATGTTTTAAAGTATAACATATAGCTATAGTAAAATATTTATTGAAATGTTGATTTATGGGTAGAGGCATCAGTGAACAGCAGCTGAACAGCTAGTCTCAGGCAGCCAAGTATTAGGATGGCCTTGAAGAGCAGCTCTGAGGTTGTCCTCCTGCTGGTCACATGATGAACATTTTAGGAAAATGTTGCTTCTACAGCAGCATAATGAGATATTGCACCACTATATTTTTTCCTCAAACACTGCGACATTTAAAAAAAGGAATAACATTATTCCTAGAATTTAGGCAGCTACATTTTAAAGCGGGAATTTCCCATGCCTCATGACAATGAATGTTTTATTAATGCTCATCTTTATCAAGATAACAAGCGAGATGTTATATCACATAAAGGTTGGATTAACAAAGATCTTCTCTTGAGAACAGTAACATTTATGGTGATTCACACAGATTTATAAATATAATTGCAAATAAGTTATGCTGTACATTATCTGTTAAATGTACAACTACAAGAAGAGAAAACAAAAGGGAATTTTACTCCATGCTCTGTGTGCAATCCATCAAAGTTCTGAGCAACAAAACACCACAAGAAGAGGTTACAGAAAGTAAAAGCATCAGCAGCACATGCTACATACATTCAGTGTCCTAATAAATCTTGCTGGCATTTATTGCCAACCGCAGAAGAAGGGACTTGAATTGATCACCCCCAACGAAAGGCCAGCTGTTGGTCGAGTGGTTCCTATAGGACAGCAGAACTTTAACCAGAGGGTGTCAGTGCTGACAGATGAAGAGATTAACACGAGAGCAGTCCGGTGGTAATCCCGCAGGACATTTGGAGATGCTGGAGTTAACGTGCTGGAGAACAAGCAGAAGGCCAAACCGGCCAAATCCATCCCTCCATGCACCGGAAAGGCCATGTGGCTTGCCAGAGTGGACTACAAAGATCCCTAGCTGTGAGACTTCTCAAGTTCAGTTGAGCTGTCAGCAGCTGTCCTGAAACAGACACGTCAGCAGGAGAGCTGGAGACCCTACCCTTTTCTAAAACAGGCGAGAGGGTACTTGGAGGACGTTAAGAATTGGGACACAAGACAGCAGACCTGAACATACACAATTCAGATGTAGTGTGATGTAATCAGTGACCAAAACCTCAAGTGAACATCCCTGACCTTTTCACCAACGAACAGTTATCAGGCCTGAGGTTTTTTTAGGCAGTTTGAGCCACTAATGGATGTTTTGAAGACACTGGGTCCTCTCGTGCCCCGATGAGCCCAACAGGCAGCTGGAGGGTAGTCATCCACTGTGACATCATGTGCTTTAGGACCTTGTGACCAGTGATGCGGTGCTCAGAGGAAACAACCTCGAGCTAAAGGCACCCAATCAACCAGCAAGATGGAGTGTAGCTACAGGCTGGCCAACTGCATGGGATGTTACTCTCACAGAAATAGTTTTTCTTGGAGTGCAGACAGAATATATGTACATCATGTTCCTATGCCCGGGCACACATTCATTGGACTTGTTGCCAGTGACCGTGTCAGTTTAGGAGTAAAAAAGTTATATATTTAGTGAAAAAAAGATTTTTTTTTTAAGACACATTATTCTTCTAAAGTGAATTTCAAGTGATCATAATAGCATGCATGTACAGAGCGGGAATAACTAACCAGAAAGGATACACCCATTCATGACAAAAAAAGTTGATTGTAAATGTGTGAATTACATTGCAAGACACTTGAAATGTGCCGAAATCTTATTTACAATATATAAATATTTGTTAAATAGTAGGGAATTGGCTGAAGTTGAAACAGAACTGGAGCATGTTAGACAAGGTACATCTGGGAGATTATTTGATGGACATTGACAAGTGCAGACAATTTAGAAAGCATTAACAATGACAGAAAAAAGACAGAAAAAGCAGTATAACATGCTATCAAATTTTAAAACCAAATAGGGATTAGAACTGCTCTGTTGAATTACACCTATTAAATTAGACAACATTATTCATCACCCATTAGATTTTGTACAATCACTCTCAGAAGGTGATGCTTATCAGTTTATGTACTTCAGATGTGTACAGCTTAAGATCTCAATAAGAAACCTGATTCAAAAAAGTTCCTTAAATGACTCATACATACAGTACGTCAGCATTATTTTCAAGATTAAATTCCTATTTGTGCATGTTTGACTCAATGTTCTAATCTGTAGACAGCACACGTTGACCTGTCACCATAAACAGCAGAACATGATGTATGATTGCAGCGCCGCTGAAGAACAAATAGAGCCCCGGCGTCTTATAAAGTGTATATAAACCAGAGAGAGCGGCGCTTCTTTAATGCTGCAAGGCCACATCTTTATCGCTCCTGCTCGCTGAGATCCTGGCAGATATTGTCACACTACCTTATCTCAACTCAGAAATGGATGGCTATTTTATCTGCCACTGTTTCATTTGCTGCTTCTTTCAGAAAGAAAAACACTTTTGATCTTTTTACATCACTGAAGGACACCGTCACATTTCAGTGAGACATTTACAGAAAAACATTTGCTCTGTGCTCTGCTTTCATCCTCTTCTTGGAAAAAGAATAAGATGAGGCAGCATATTGTTAACTTTACCCTTTCCTCTAAAATATCCTTAGTACAGCTCTAACTTAATTATATATACACTTCAATGCAGTATACATTATTATTCTTTCCTCAAAATGTTCCAATTGTGACCTTTTTGTTTAGGTACCATTACAAACACTAAACTATTTCCTAATGAGTGTTTTTTAGAACAATATAACACTGTAGACAAAAATTCAGACCAAGTCCTTAGCGTGATACAGAAAATGAGTTTTATTCTCATGTTAATGTCTCAACATACAAATCATTCTTCTTAATAAAAGAAAATTCAATCAGTACCTGGCATCTAGACTCTTCCTAAGAATACAACCATTTCACGTTGTACCTCTCTATCGTATACTATCTACTCAGAAAAATAGTAACAATACAGTTTGCTTCTGCTTAGTATTTTAGCCCAATAGTCAAACTTGTGGACCAATTTTCCTTTGAAAAATTGTGCAAGAATAGATCCCTTTTTAATAATTCAAATAAGAACCATTTTTTCTAATTAAGAATAAAAGGCCATCAATGAAATGTAAGGAACTGATGTGATAGATAAAAACGTGTATTAGTTACAGTAGAAATTATAGTACCTATTGGTAGTCTACTGGAAACCTAGGAACAGTTACATGTTTAAGGTTAACAGATAAACAAGTGCAAAACAGAAATAAAAGGATAAAGTTGCCTTAGTGGATTTTGGCACAATAAGATACAGGATATGGTTTCGAGGAAGGGCACAATATTTTAGTCAATATCTTTTACCTTTCTTAATAAAAAATACAATTAAATAACAATGAAAAGTCACTAACATTTAAACAGAGCAGAGTAAAATCCTTTTGAAATTACCCTGCACATTTTGCTTCATAGTGTCTCTTTTAACGAGTACATTGATAAGTGACCGACAACCAACCACAGAGAAACAAAAATAAATTCTTTTTTAAAAACATGCTAATACCTGCTAAGACATGACTTGACAGCCAGACGTTCCTAGGCGTATGACCTAGTGAAAATACATGTAATATATATTTATATATATATGTTTCTTTTTTTCAGTTGTATCTGCATACTGTATATGTTATACTCTATATATTGTTGTTAAATATTTGTTAAAGAGAAAGAATGATAGTTACACAG